TTTTGGGCAATATACTTTGAGATATCCTAAGTATTTAGCATAATTAAGTTTAGCTGCACAATTCTCTATTAATAGTTATCTTTCTGCCCAGGTATGTGCTCTCATAAAAATTTAAGAATTCCCAGTCCTTGGACTTTATCAGTGTCTAAAGCTACTGCTGTGTGAAGCTCCTTAGCATCCCAAATTATTTAATAAAAGAGTATACACATGTTTAATAATTCTCATTATAGCAAGCACATTCTTACAAGGCTACATTCAGGAAACTACAGGACATACCTACCAAATAGATATAAATTATAGCGAAAACCTGTGCAATACGCACAGGGAATATGATTTTGCCTATATCAGCATCAGGTCTGCAAAATAAGGATTTCTTCATGGTATCATTTTACTATTTATCCTTTTCCTGTATTAAAACTCTTTTATCATAGACCTTTTTCAAATTAAAATGATAAAGAATTGTTGAACAGTAACTATGCTGCATGGATCCTTTATTTTCTCCCTTTGGATGAATCACAGTAAGATTTAATATGACTGCCATCAATAGCTTAATGCAAATTAATTCATCCAATAATATTGTCCTTAATAACAAACTTGGATAGAATAGTCATCAAGTCGTCAAGTCGACTCACCCTATGAAATCTAACCCCACAAGATAATCTAAGTGACGTTGACACTTCTGTTTGATGAATAAAACATGATATAAAGCTTAAGTACCTAAAAAATAGTCCACATTGCCAATATAGATAAGCATTGATTTGGAGAGACTGAGTCTAGATACAAAGTTTTCAGAAAATTTTTTGTAACCTTTACACGTTGTTGTTCAGTTGTTAAGTCATGTTTGACTCTTTGCGACCCCTAGGACTTCAGCACCCCAGGCTTCCCTGTCCTTCACTATCTTCCTGAGCTTGCTCAAGCTCATGTCCATTGACTCGATGATACCACCCAACCACCTCATTCTCTGTCACCCCCTTCTGCTGCCATCAATCTTTCCCAGCATCAGGGTTTTTTCCAATGAGTGGCTCTTCACATCACATGGCCAAAGTACTGGAGCTTTAGCATCAGTCCTTCCAAAGAATATTCAGGGTTGATTTCCTTTAGGATTGACTGGTTTGATCTCCCTGCTGTTCAAGGGACTCTCAAGAGTCTTTTCCAGCACCACAGTCCGAGAGGATCAATTCTTCAGTCCTCAGCTTCCTTATGGTCCAACTCAATCTATAGCTAATTGCTATAAAATCTAGGGCATCAAAATAGCTTACTAAGGTTGGAAGTGTTAGGGTATTTTATACATAAAATCAATGCCCCTTTTAATGGAGCATTTATTATTTTCCAGGTCTATGATACCTACTCACATTTGTTCACACATTTCAAATAAATTGCAAGTCATTTTATATTCACAAAAATCATGTGTGCTTACTAAGACAATCATCCCATTTCTCAAATGATAAAGATGAGTCAGGAAGTGAAGTGCCTTTTTGGAATCTGAATTACTTCTTGTCAATCTATTCCCTGACCTTATATCACACTCCCTGTAAAGACCCATATCTATAAAATGGTATACTTGATTAGTATGTTGGGGAAAAAGATTTGATAGTAGTGTTTATTTCATGTAGTGTTCTTAGTGTAAAAAACTGATTATTTCTGTAGCAGAAACTGTCTATAAACACACACATATGCATATACACAACCTAAGAGGCCACGTAAGTATACTATCCTAAACCAGAACAAAAGCTTCCTTAACAATGCTGTGTAATTCTAGGCTTCTTTATTGCTATTCCGTAAAACATAGGCTGTCGTAGTAATCTCCCTAGCAAGTTGAAGTTGTATTTCAGTGTTTGAGTGTTGCTGTCTAAAAATAATAAAACCACAGTTTTTGAGATTAGAGGCAAAAGAGGTCAGCTTGCTTGCTTTACTTCTGAGACACGTCTGCCTTCGGACTTTTCTAATTTAGGCTAAGTTCTAGTGCAGACTGAGCCTCGCTCTCCTAGGCAAGCTCTTGCGCGTATCACAACAGTATGAGTTACTGCTGACACAACCATCACTCTTGTTCTTCCTAGTATTTCTTTCACTCTTTTGCTGATGCCATTATGAAAAATAGTGCTGACACAGCCTTAAAGTCACTTAATATCCTTTCTTATTTATGTGGCTGACTTGTCTTAAATTTTTGTTTGCAAAGAAGATATTAATGATCGTGGAGGAGTATTTGGTTTTATAAATTTAATATACTGAAGTACTCTACAAACTAAATTTTAAAAACTACTAAAAAAGCAAAAGCAGCCAATAATAGAAAGTATTTGTGATCTTTAGCATCTGAACATGAAGAGATATAATAATAAAGCTTGCTTTCACTATTGCCTAGTTAATTGTGATGGAGTTTGTACTTTCATACTCGGTGTAATCCATCATTAATTCCCATTTTTTATTATAAAATATGGATTTATATCTTACTACACCAAAGCATTTTTTATAAATGCTTTCAATACATGGTCTTTACTGTATTTAGGACAAAGTATCTGAAGTGTTACTTATACTGTATATTCATTTTCAATATTCTTATAAAAATGCTCTCCATTTACAATTTGATTGATAATGTAACGAAGGGATATAAAAATATTTGAAAACAAAATTCAGTATGGGAACATTGAAACTTGGGGTAGACTGCAATGCTAACACCATCAAAAGCTGTAAGTTTTCACCATGAGTATAATTCTGTTCATAGCTTTTCAATCTAAGATTTATTTTTATAATGCTGAATAGATTTTTGTCATAGATAGTTCAATGAACTCAAAAAAAATTCTTACCTATAGAGTAACATGTCATTTATAATACTAACATTTTAAACATTAAAACATAACAGAATTACCAATCAGTAATAACTCACAGCATAATGAAAATTAAATAAAAATTTTAAACAAATTTGGTTGAAAGTCAACTAGAAACCAAAATATATTTTTACAAATGTTTCAGTATCCTTAGTATTTCAGTTTTAAAACTGCATATTTGTTTTAAAAATACCTTTAATAATAAATCTTGCATGCTATTGATGATTTTTCTTCAAAGTTCTTTAAAGGCATTTTTAAAATTTCAATGCTATAGTAAAATAGTTCAAATAAGATTTTTTAAATTGTATTATTTATACATATATACCTAGATATATAAGGCCAAGTAAAATTAACTCACACATTTGTGCAAATGAACCATGTTGCTTTTATAAAATATAAATAAAACTGGATAATTCAAACATATCAGTATGATATTACAATTGCAACATTTCTTCTGAGATATGTAACGTCACTTTTTATACTCAGTAGGAGTATGGTAGAAAAGTTATATCATGACTTAAGGGACAATTTTATATTTCACCATATCACACTTGTAATAATGACAGATAATTAGATAATCACATATATTAGTAGTTTAAACATCAAAAACCGAGTGGTGTAAAACAAATTTATATTATCACTCAAGCTATAACACAGGTGAAATTTGAGCTTCTGGAAGTTGACAAATGTTAGTATTTTGCAGCTTTTACATAGTGCCACTTAAAGTTAAAGTGCAAGCTCCAGACTTCCCTGGCGGCTCAGGGGCAAAAAAGTCTGACTGCCAACGCAGGAGACACAGGTTCAATCCCTGATCCGGGAGGATCCCAGGTGCCTCGGAGCAACTAGGCGCATGCGCCACAACCGCTGAAGCCCATGCACCCTAGCATCCGCCCTCCGCACCAGGAGAGGCCCTCACACCACAGCTAAAGAGTAGTCCCCACTTGCTGCAGCAGGGGAAAAGCCCCAGGCAGCAACTGAGACCCAGTACAGCCAAAAGTATAATAAAATAAATTTTAAAAATAAATAAAATTCAAAACAACCTATATCCTGGATTCTATTTAATAACATAGTCACTCATTAATGAGTATATAAAGCTTGTATAAAATGAAGTGAGGAGAAGTAAAGTCGCTCAGTCGTGTCCGACTCTTTGCAACCCCATGGACTATAGCCTACAAGGCTCCTCTGTCCATGGAATTTTCCAGGCAAGAGTACTGGAGTGGGTAGCCATTTCCTTCTCCAGGGATCTTCCCAACCCAGGGATCAAACCCAGGTCTCCCACACTGCAAGCAGACAGTTTACCATCTGAGCCACCAGGAAAGCCCATAAAATGAAAAACTTATATTAAACAACATATAGAAATCATATCCTCCCTCCACTTTTTCTTCTAGGATGTTCAAGAATATCACTGCTTCTGGTACAATAAGCCCTACTTCAGATTCACACATACATGTTTGGATATAATGTGCGCCAACTCTTTATAAAATTAATGACCTCTTATTAAATGACTTCCTTCCCTGGTGGCTCAGACGGTAAGGCGTCTTGCTTACAATGCGGGATACCTGGGTTCAATCCCTGGGTCAGGAAGATACTCTGGAGAAGGAAATGGCAACCCACTCCAGCATCCTTGCCTGGAAAGTCCCATGGACAGAGGAGCCTGGTGGGCTAACAGTTCATGGGGTCTCAAGAGTCAGACATGACTGAGCGACTTCACTATACTAAATCATTTAATCCTAAGGTAAAAACAATAATGTATCAAAGATTTTAGCTATGTTTTGAGTTCATCACACTGAAAATTAAGTTCTCATTTTCCTTCCTATATGTTGAAGTATCCTATACATGTTTAAAATATAACATCAATTTCTATTACCTTCTCAATTTATGGGATAGTTTATCTTTTTCATCAAGTATTGCAATCTAAAATATTTTTATTTAGAAAACTTGTAGTATTTTGAAATCAATGTACAACCAATCAGACTCTATTTAGTTCTAATAACTAAACGAGAATTCTTCTGGAATACTACCGTTTATATTCTGGGTTACATTTCCTTTGTTGGGTAGCTAATTTTTTTCATGCATCAGTTGGCATTTTCAAACACATCTCACGATAAGATAAGCCCAATATGACATGGAATCAAGCTTTCACTGAGAGTTCCAAGCAATTAAAGAGAATGCACTTACCATGTTCCAGCCAGGATAGAGGTAGTCTGTACCAACGAACTCAAAGTAGTGGGCAAAGCCTTCCTTCAGCCACACGTCTTCCCACCACACGGGGGTCACGAGGTCACCAAACCACTGCCATCAGAGATGAACAGGCGTCAGATACAATCACATCTAGCCAGAGTGACCTCATCTAGAATCAAGTGTGTTAAACTATGATGATCACAACTGGAATTCACTTTCCAACTGATTTTGTGATTTTAAAATAGGTTATAGCAAGACTATTAATTTGACTACTTGAGTGACACTAACTTTTTAATAAGTGCATTCAGGGAACAAAAATAAAATGATCAAGGAACAGAAAATGAATATTTAATCTGGAAAACAAAGGACTCAGGAGAAGAAGAAAAAAAAAATGCTAACAGTTGTCTTCAAATATTTGAAGACCTAATATGTAGAAGAAGCTTGGGTTCTGTGTCCCTGCAGGAGACAAATCAGGACTAATGGATGGAAATTGGGGTTTGTCAACTGGCAGAGGTTGCTAGAAACGCAGGAGACCCTCTAACAGACTGAAATGGATGGAGATGGAAAGTACTGCCTCAAGAAGTCGTGAGCTCACCACGGAAGTCCTGAAGCAGCACCTTTCAGTGGCAGAGACAGTTCACAGACGTTGTCGGCTGATTGAAGGAACTAAAGGCTTTCAAGATGCTCCACCCCTGACTCTCCATGATTCTATGATAATGAATGTTGGACCCCCCCAAAAAAACCTCTACGATCGCTTCGGAAAAATAATGTTGTAATTTTTAATTGGTGTTTTGATTAGATCATGATGCATTAGTCTGAAATCCTTGCTGAGTTCAGAAAAAGCTTAAAGGAATTCTTTTTTCATAGAAAAAAAAAACAAAACGAACAGAAAGCATTATATACCAGGAACTGTGCCACTTGGGATTTAATGATGAAAAGTCAGACAACGTCCCTTCTGAGGCAGCGACACTTTATTGTGGAGGAAGGGACAATGCGGTGAGATAGAAAATAAAGAATAAACAAGGAAACAATAGAATTTCAGGTCTTATTAAAACGTGATATGTATGGGGGAGGGGTCGCTTTAGATTGTAAAAGCAAAAAGGTTCTCTCTGAGCAGATGACATTTGAGCTCAGACTTTAATGATAAGAAGGAGCCATGTGAAAGCCTTAGGCAAAAGGATTTCAGGCATTTATAAGTAACTCTTAGTGTGAAGATTCTAAGTGGGAGTGAGTTATTTAAGAAACAGAAGGAAAAAGCAGTAGGCAAGTATCAGATCATAGTTCTACGGCTTTAAGAGCTAAACAGCTTGGTGGCAGAGCATTTCAATATTAATAATAAAGTATCTCTTACTCAAAAGGATCTCTAATCAAAATACAAATACAAGATAATTCTGAACATGGTGATGACCACAAATTAAGTGATGTTTTAAGTATGTTTTTATTCTTGATCAGCAATAAGTGCTCCCTTTCTCTTAAATTGAAAGTCTATCTTAAAAACTGCAACAAGAAGTAGGTGAGGAGAGATGGCAATGTAGAAAACACTTTGGCACTGACAGTGGAAATTATCATGTGTTTCTCCCAGCTTCTGGTTCGTTTCCTCATAGGAAGTAGCTGAACATCACTAAGCCAGAACAAGAAAGTAGCTGAGAATCTGGAACAAATGAAATCCAGGTCTAGGAACAATGATGATCAGTGTGCTCCTATTTCAAAAGAACTCTACATGTAACTTATGTCTAGGAATGTTCACAAAGGAATCAGTTTTTGCGTCAAAGAATTGTATGATTAGCTGGAAAGCACTTTTAGCACAATAGAGAAGCACTAGTTATCTCTACAATGGATCCTCTTAAGTCACTGAAGCAAGGAGCACACGCCCCAGCTGACCAGCGTGGCAGGTGCAAACACCACACAGCCTCACTGCAGAAGGCTGACATTTAGGCAAATAGTCATGTGGCCTGGAACAATTTAGCATGAAGTCTGTGTTCATGTCTTAGCATTTACCTGTTCAGCTTCTTTCACTGACAACATTTTCTACCTCTCTTTAAGGTTTTCAAACTTTTTAAAAAGATTTTGGGTTGATAACAAATTGAAGTCTTGCGGTTTCACACTGAGATTTCTGGTGTTTTCACTTAAAAACTATCCACAGTTTCTGGTCACCAAGACAAGGACTGGTTTTTATTAAAGCACAGACGTTTATTTTCAGTTATTCTTTTCATTAGAATCAAGATTCAAATAGGCATTGTGAAATCTCTGTAATACCTTTCGCTCATTGTAGTAAAGTGCATGAAATTAACTTTATCTCAGCTTCACGACAAAGCTGGCTAATTTACATATGAATTTCTAAACATGCCAAGACAAAAAAATATCAATCATTTCAGAACAAAGAGTCTGTGGCTGACTTAGTGAAAGACTTCCTAAGTGTCTGTGTGATGGGAGAAGGGGAATAACAAATTGATTTCAGCAAAAGTAAATTTTGACATGTACACAGCACTCAGCTGCATCTTGTAGCAATGCAATAAATCATCACCATCACTGCACTTACCATATATACACACCAATAATCACAAGAAAATAAAGCAAGGTTGACAAAGAATAGTGAGTGGATGGGGTCTCCAAAGAGGCTGCTGGGTAGCGATGCCATCTCACTCCTTAACTAAACTGAATGGCAGTTGCTTATTCAATACAACCTGTGCGCTTGCTTTCATTTTGCTGTCATTTGAGAAAAGCGACATATCTTCCAAAAAGAACTACACGATGCTCTACACCGAATCAAAACCTAATTGGGGGGATAATAACTGAACTCCTAATCTAAGTATCTGAAATCAGTTTACATTCTCCATAGTTTGCAATTATACTTACACCTGATCCTTTCTTCATACCTGGTGACATATCTCATGAACAATGACCATGGTGACATCCAGCAAATAAGAAATAGACGAAACACTGGGATCCAGCAGTATCCTTTGTTCCACAAAAATACTCAGTCCCCAGTTCTCCATAGCAGCGTATGGATGCTTAGGCACAGCTAAAAGATCTAGAAATAAAATAAAACAATTCCAAAGGCTTTAACAAACACATCAGATTCTAAATGCATATCCAACAAAAGTCCAGAAATTCTCATTAAAAAGAATACTTGCTCTTTCTTAGTAATTTTTTTTTCTAAATTAAACTACCTGCCATTTCTATGTGACAGCAGAAATATAGGCTATCACTGTAAACGCTGGCCATATCCATCCATCACAGTTCATTTTCAGACCCAGAGGTGGAGGAGGCGGGAAGGATCGACACCATTATTGATGGGCCTATCCTAATAAGTTGCAGAAAGTCAAGGAAACCAAATGCAGCAGGAACCTACAGAGTCAAGAGGCATTGTGCCTTCTAATGAAAATATATTCAGCTCAATGCAATGAATACTGTACCCTGGATTTTACCTCAATATTGTTCAAAAGAAAACAGCTCACAGCTGTTTAAAAATCTGACACGCATATTTCTAATTGCTTAATTTTAATGTATTTTTGAGTTCTGTTAAAAATAAAATGTTACATGTAAATATAGCTCATATAAAGAAAGTTATAATGGATGACGTAGTATCAAAAGGACTATTGAGGGAACCTCCAGACTTTGGTTCTGGTCCTGCCTCCATCATTAATTAAATATATGACATCAATGAATCACTTAATTTCTCAAGACCACAATTCTCTCACCTACAAAATGAGGTTATTAGACATCATAATCTCTAAAATCCCTTCCAGCTCCAAAAATCTATGATTAGATGATTTTAAGATAGCTGCTTACTTTAAAAGGTGGTAAAGGTAGTCTATTATCAACTTTTGGTTAAGGAGACACAGTAAGTTCATGCTTTGATGTACTCCCTCTGCTCCAAACACATAGCAATGATAAATAAAATATGAAAAGGAAAAGCTAAACATCATCTCCAGGCTGGAAAATAAACCTCTCCATGGGACCAGAAATGGTACATAAATGCAAAGCAGTGATTGCAAGTGAAGCCACAGGCCTGCTGAGGTCTGGCTCCAGGAGCAAGCAGTGGCATCTGGGAATTGGCTCCAATAGGATCTACCGGAATTAAAGGGATCTAAGCCAAGTTGATGGCTTGTTGCCAGCAGCTGAGATAGGGCAAGCAAGCTCAGGAGAAGGGCTGGAGATAGTTGGTGGTCAGTGCTTCTTGGGAAAGCCAGCAAGCGGCGATGTAAGGATTCAAACCCTGGCAAGTTGGCTCCACTTAACTGTATAAATCCTGGAGTAACACCCCAGGATGCTAAGGAAAAAAATGGTACAAGAATGTTGCTGCGGTACTGTTTGTAAAAGTGAAAGGAGAAACTACATGCCTTTCACCAAGATACTGGACAGAGAAACTGTGAAACAGTTCTAAAAAAGGAATACCATACAATAGTTGAAATAGTCTCACCACTAGATTCTAACACTACATGTATCAGCATGGATAATCAGAAAAACATTAATGCTGAGGGAACAAATAAGGTGTAGAATGCCCTTTATCATACCCTACTTAAAAGCAAGCCGAATAGTACCATAGGTGGAAAATCGGTACTCACATATGCACACTCATGCTCAGACAAATAGTGGTAAAATGCACACAGAATCACACACGTGCAGGAACAATAAACACCAAATTCTGAATTATGATTGCTTCAGGGAAGAAAGGAGAAGGAAGGAATGAGGGACAGTGTTTTATGTTTCTGGAGTCAATTTTGATTGTATGCAAATGGCGTAAGCAGAGGGGAGTTGTCTTACACCATCAATAAGCAATTCCAACAGAGTGACCCAGTGTTCAATTCAATTCTGATACTAACTACCCAAAGACAGAATCAGATTCCACAGGATAAGGGTTCAGTCCTGAAGACTACACGCCACCCCCTCACTTCAGAAATCAGTCCCAAGCCTGGGTTGTTATCTTTGCTTCTGATCTATAGGTTAAAGACTGGAGGTTCCACCACCCCCTTCAAATCAGGATGCAACAGAAAGATTAGGTTGTTACCTGCACTTCTCACCAACTGGCTATAAATCAGAGATTCCCATAACTTCCTGTTTGGGTTTGATTAATTTGCTAAAGCAGCTCACAGAACTCAGAGACATTTAACTTCCAGATCACCAGTTTGTTATAAAGCTATCTAAGGAACAACCAGATGGAAGAGGTGTCTGAGCGGGTGAAAAGCGTCCGTGCCCTCTCATAGACGAGCTGCTCTCCCCAGATCTCCACCTGCTCACCCACCTGGAAGCTCTCTGCGCCCACACCTTTGGGGTTTTATGGAGACTTCATTAGAGAGGGATGGTTGATTAAATCATTGGCCACTGAGGCGTGAACTCAGTCTCCAGCCCCTTTCTCCTCATTCTCAAGGCCAAGGAGTGAGACTAAAAGTTCCAACCTTCTAATCACGAGGTTAGTTTTCCTGGCAATCAGCCTCCATCCTTAGGTGAGTTCCAAAAGTCACTTTATTAACGTAACAAAAGACAACTTTAGGTCTCTCTTCACTTGGAAAATTCTGAAGGTCTTGGGAGCTGTAAGCCAGAAAACGTGTGTGGATAAACTTGGATATATTTCTCATAAATCACAATATCACAGAGGGTCGTATACAATGGATTTCAAATGTGGTTTGCTTTGTCTCGGCCACTCCATGCGCGGCGCAGTATGCAAAAGCTCAGGTCCCTGTTCCCCAGTCAGGGATCAAACTCACGCCCCCTGCCATAGAACTACAGTCTTAACCACTGAACCACGAGGGAATTCTTCCAATGTTTTGTTTTGTTTTATTGTACTTTTTACCCTTTGGCCACACCTCTTAGTTGGGGTGGCCAGACATCAAACCTGTATTGGAAGGCAGAGTTTTAACCACCACCTGTATTGGAAGGCAGAGTTTTAACCACCGAACTAAGGAAGTACCCCCAATATGTTTTCAATGCTAATTTTTCAAAGCTGCTAATGGATCCATGGGTGTTACTTATAATATTATTGATTCTTTTCTGTATGCTTTAAATATTTCATAATAAGAAACAAATTAAATGGTCAAGTCTTAATGGTAATTTTCATTTATTTATGATGTTAACCAACATCTAAGCGTTTGCTGTGTCCTTAAGTCTGTGTGTATGTGTGCATGCGTGCATGCTCAGTTGCTCATCATGTCCAACTCTTTGCGACCCTGTGGACTGTAGCCCGCCAGGCTCCTCTGTCCATGGGATCTTCCAGGCAAGAATACTGGAGTGGGCTGCCACTTCCTACTAAGGGAATCTTCCAAACCCAGGGATCAAAGCCGCTTCTGCTTTTTATCCTGCATTGGCAGGCGGATTCTTTACTGCTGAGCCATTGGGCCAGCCCCCATGTAAGTCTGAGATGTGTATTAAAATAAGTAAAGTATGGCCCCTGTATTCACTACAGGGGAACATGACAGCTTAACACAAGAAATAAAGAATAAAAAGTGCTGTGAAAAAGAGAGACTATCAGATCTAGTTCTTGAAAGAGACAGCATTTGAGTTGGATTTCTGAAAATAAATAGGATTTCGACAGGCAAATAGAGATACTACATGCACTCATTTACACAAGCATGTATTTTTTGAGCACCTCTTTTCTCAATACAAGCATTGTTCTGCCCTCGAAGACCTTTGTTCCCTGTTCTCACGGCACTTATACGTGGGTGTGTGCAGGAGGAAGAGATCAATTCACAAGTAATAAATAAATGAAAGAAATTGAGTAAATGACAAATGCTATCAAAAATAATAATAATAATAGAGGAAGACAGTGATTGACTGGCGGAGTGCAGTGGATGGAGTGTGGTCAAGGCAGGCATCTGCTGCCTGTCGGAAGATATGTGGAAGTACAGTTTTCTGAGAAGAGGGGACAAACTGCACAGACCTAAGGAGGACACGGGAGCACATCGTGGACAAACAGAGGGAAGGCTGAGGTGGCTGAAGCAGGTAGAGAGGAAGAGAACGGGTGCAGAATTGTACAGAGCGCACGTATGTAACAGACAGTTTTGAGGCCTCCCCTAAATATGAACAGGACACTGTGTCAACTCTGTCTGCCACCAGCAGATGGCAGCGGCAGGAGCAGGTCCGGTGCCATCTACTTGTAGGAACACTTGGACTTATGAACAAGACTGTTGAAAAGAGAGTCACTTCTGTTCCTGGAGATTTCCAAGAGCCAGGGGCACTCAGGTCCCCAGGATTAAGTGAGCAAGTCAGGCCACACGCTGGGATGTGGACTGCCTCAAATGGCATAGCGAGGACTCCAGCCACAGGCCAGATGCAGTCTGAAAGTTTGCAATAAAGAAGGTACATCCGAGCGCATTCATCACAGAGCCACAGTCTGACCTGCAGCCGAAGTGTGTGCGCTGAGGGGGCAGCTGAAGGCTGGTGCCAAAGACCTCAGGCAACAGTAACCTAACCAGACCAGGTGACTGGTTCGTTTCCAGAGGTCTAAGGGCAGAGGCGTCAGACCTAAGAAACAAAGCTGTACTTCAACCAGACAAGGAATCTTGAGTAAATGGAGTCAGATTCAGATAAAGTGATTGAGAACCAGAGAAACACATAAGGGTTAGTAATAGAAGGCAGCTTCTCAGACACTCACAGGCTTTATTACTGATACAGGGAACCATGTCTGTGGCCGGCAGAACAGGAGATTATTCTTCTACAGACATAATAACCTTATGTCAAAGGACATAGAAACCTGGATTTTACTGTACTACTGAGAGATTCTGTGTGCCTTTCTGCTCTGCAGGGATTCCCTGGTGGCTCAGTGGTAAAAAAGAAATACCCACCTGCTGATGTAGGAGACGCGGGTTTGATCCCTGGGTCAGGAAGATCTCCAGGAGAAGGAAATGGCAACCCACTCCAGTAGTCTTGCCTGGAAAATTAGAGGAGCCTGGCAGGCTACAGTCCATGGAGTTGCAAAAGGGTCGGGCATGACTAAGCAACTGGGCACACACATATTCTGGTCTGCATCTTTGTCTCATAAATAGTTCTAAACTTTAAGAACATCTGCGGGAAGCACATATCCACATAAAGAGT